TTAGTGATACTATATCTTTAACTTGAGACGATATTAACATTGTGTCAAATTTTCTAAAGTTGACATGGACATGCAACACGTGGCATTACAAGGGACAAGAAAATTTGCTCGAAGCTCTGTTGTGCGTCTATGTGTACGAATTAAACGGACCAACCTGTCTAAATTCTCCATCACATCATATGATCAATAAGAATGGCCGCTTTGAATAAGCTACGAGGCTATTGTTACCGTTAGCGGCGACAAATAGGTGAGTTGTGTTGGTTATGAGTTTGGTTAAATTGATATAAATTAAAATAAATTATTTTAATTTTGCATTCACGTATTAAATAATTTATAATTAATTGGGTTTATAATGAGTTAGGTTAAATCTATTAACGTATAAAATAATTAAAATTCTTAATAGACACACATTAATACATTAAAACACACATATATTATATAAACACACATACTAATACACCAAAACATATAAATTAATACACTAAAAATACACACACTAATCCATACTACTTCTAAATGTCAAGATCTAAGAAAAACTTATAAATAACTATTATACCCTTAAACAATTATATAAACACAACACTACCGTTCAGAACACCAATTAACAATTCTATTAATATTAGGAATTATGCAATTTTTTTTCCCTTTTTTTTTTTGGGAGGAGAGAGAGGACTTGAACTATTGAGCTCAAGAAGACAAAACTTTCACAAGATAAAAAGTACTATTTGACCAAAGGCCTATTGGTATATGCCATTTGTACTCCATTGATAGTAGAAATATGGGGGTGATTAGACATAATAACATAATTATGTATTAAACTCAACAGATGCAATGTATGCAATCTAATAGGGCATATCTATTAGTTGATGAATATTTTAGTTAACGTTTTTGCTGGCATCATATAATTTGAGATTATATTTGAGTGACGGATAACCTATTCGAGTTCCTTCATTAAAGGAAAATGTCTTTTGGTTTTACGTAAATAATTGTCATTTTGGCTGTTACAACTCTTCGTCTCTTTAGTTAATGTTTGTCCTTTCAACTCTTTAGATTCTTTTCCCAAATTCAGTAACTTTGCATATAGTTTAAAAACTGGGTCCTTATTCTTCCACTCTTCTGCTTCAACTTCGTCATATCAACTTCTTTATCACAAATGTCCCTAATATATGGGGAAGGAAGACATTGGATCACTATAACACTGAACATTACCAGTATGTGATAAAGAGTAATAGATCAACAAACTAAAATGAAAGAAAGACAAAGGTGAAGAGTTTTCTCGGTGCTCTTTCCTCTTAATTTGCAGACTCATCACAAGGTAGGATTGGTACTATGTTTCAAATCCTTGTAACTTTACACACACACACACACACATACACACATATATATTCTATTACCAGAATTCCACACTTACTAATAAATTTTTTGGGTATATCATTGTGCATCCTTGTTAATGCAAGTATGGTTGTTATATATATATATATATATATATATATATATATATATATACTAGCATCTAGACTACATACTGTTTGACTAGCATCTAGACTACAGAGTATCATATTCATGTCATGCTATTTTGAGTAAATTTTTTTTTATTAATACTAATTTAATTTATTTTATTAAACGTGTGACAAATGTCTTGACACTAATTAGACAATTTTATTAATCGTGTTGTATACGAATTGAAGAGTATTTATGGGAGATGGGGGAGTAGCTTAGTGAAAAGAGTTTATTCTCGCCCGCAAGTGATTACGGGTTCAAACCTCATCACCTCCCTCTCCCCCACTTCCCCCTCCAAACAAAATATGAATGGTACCCACGAAAAATGGGAAAATTACTTTTTTTTTGGGATTAAAAAAAATAAGTCCAGTTGATCTAACAACTATAAAAATCCAAACTTGACTTGGATAATTTAATATCAAAGGATTAGGTCAAGAAAAGAACAACCTCACCAAGTCTTTTCTTGTAATTTGTTTCTTCCCAAGTATTTTTTTTATTGGTAAACAGATTGACTTATTAAGAATTTTTTATGCCTTACATATGCAAATAAATTCTTTATCCATTATATTGTTTTTCGATGACTCAATCCATAATTATTGTTGTGTTGAATCATTGAATTTTCTGAAATGAATTGAATTTTTTATTCCATTACCCTATGCCACCTACCATATTTTCTATTTTTTTTTTTATCAAAAACTATTTCAGAGATAAGGTGACAAAGTTCAAATCCACCACATTAAAGATTAACAATTTGCTAGTTGTTTTATGTGGTTGTTAGGGACCATACCCACAATTATTGCCGCCTTTAATCTTTGTATATGCTCAAAATGATTTAGACTTTAATTCTATAAAGCGTAGATTTCAATGAGAGAATAGATATACATATATGCACACATATGTATGTATTTGTATGTCTATATTTATAGACAAACTAGGGATAATCTGTGCTTGAAGGCACGGTGCAACATATGTGAGAAGTGATGAATTTGAAGGGGAAGAAAAATTCAAAGTTAATGGTTTTGAGAAGGATGTTGATGACCGTTGGATGAGTCTATTTGAGAGCATTGGATTGGATGAGTTTATTGAAATCTGTCTTGTTTTGTATTATAAATTAAGTCATACGTAATAATGGTGGTGTATCCATATTTGTGTCCTAGGCTACAATCATGAAGTTCTTTTTAAGTTTCTTTTTTTCTTTTTTCTTTTTTTATCATAAGAAGTTCTTTTTAAGTTAGATACAATGACATTATCTATATTTTCTACCTGAAAATCCAAGGGAAAAAAGATGGAGCAGTGCATGAAAATTAAGATGAAAAGCAAATCCAACAAGCACTAAGCAAAGAAGCATAAGCTAGACCCTGAATGAGTTCTTTTGGATCTTGAGTGATTTAGGTAATTTTAGCTATTACTCACCCTTCTATTGATTCAATATTTTTTTGGGGGTCTTCTATTGGTCTTGTTGTTGGGTCAATGATGACTTGATAAATTTTAGTGGCTTTACAATGTGTGCAAGTTAGTTTGCTTTTCCTTGAGTTACTTTTGATGTGTTAAACTATCAATTTTGTTAATACCATGTCTAGGCATACACCTAACTGGTTGAGTGATAATTATAATCAATTTACATAGAATTATAATGACAATCAGTTCAATTCAGTGGACATGGCAATGATGCATGCATTGCATGTGACTCAAATGTAAAAGAGAAAAGTTATGACTGCTTGGTTATGTGCTGCAAATATGTGTACTTTTACCACTCTAATTTTCACCTATACAGTTTTGTGACACCTGTTAATTGGGGCTATGTAAAGATCGTTAGGGAATGACTACTTCTTCCCTTTAATTCATCCATCCTCCATCTCTTATGGTCACTCAACCGTGAACTAATATTGGCCTTCAAATCTTAGTATATTTGTTTAGCTCTTTCATTTTTTGTTCAAATCTCATTAACCAAAATACAAACCACAACAAATGAACTTGCAAATGATAACATAAAATGTTAACAACGAATAATTTAATATTATTCACGTGCAACTCACTTTTTTATTTTTTATTTATTTTTTTAATTTTTTTGCGAAGGGGAGGGGGAGGGGAAGTGGGCATGTGCAACTCATGTGTGCACATACTAGTACACTAAAACACAAAAAAAAATACAAACATATATTAATACAAAAACTAAAACACATCTAATAAAAAAAAATTCACATACATAACGGGTCGAGGTCGATTGTGGGTCACAGGTCAATCCACGGGTCATGGGTCAACCTATGGATCACGGGCCAACATATGGGTCACGGGTTGCGGGTCGACCACATGGTCATGAGTGGTGTATTTGTGTGTGTGTTTTTGATATGCTAGTGTGTGTATTTTGGTGTATTAGTGTATATGTGTATATTTTTTAATATAATAGTGTGTATTTTTTGATATATTAATATATTTATTTAATTTTATTACTTGTATTATTTAATAAAAAATAAATAATCAATCTAATGAATATCTATTTATAATTCATATTAACTCACTCAATTAAAATAAATTATATTAGTCAACCCATTTAGAATCCGTATTAATTAACATAAATATCTAATCCATTTATTTATGAACAAATTTTAAAAATTATGGATAATGAATTAAGATTATCACCTCAAATTATATCGTCATGTCGTCAGTGCCACTGAGTCGTTTGGCTGACGTCTTCCGGATTTTCTTCTCTCTCTTCTACTTTCTCTCTCTACTCTCCTCTTCAAGTTCAAGCCCATTACTTTTTTTTGGTACATATGAAAAGAAAACAGGGTTATTTAAACCCTCTAGCAAAAGATACACATGACAGATCATTCAAAAGAAATTACCCCAACATAGGCGGTGGGACATAAAAAAGAACAAGAGAATCCTGTGGCAGCCCTCTCAAGCTTGCCATTTTATCGGCCCAAAAATTTCCTTCCCTCAGTGTGTGAATAATGAGAGTGTTAGTCAATCCCATTATATGCTTGTAATTTGCAATGATATTCCTTTGGGGTGGAGTTCCTCCAACCTAGCAAAGATTAGGTTGAGGGCATACAAGTAGTCTGTTTCCATGATTACATTCTTTAAGTTCTGAGTTTGTATAATCTTAAGGCCTTGATAGATTACCCACAGTTCCGCTTGTAGGCAATTGGAATCCTTTAGCTTCCCATAGAAACCAAGCTGCCACTTTCCTTGATCATTCCTTAGCAGTCCTCCAAATGCAGCTGAGCCAGGTTCCCTTTAGAGCTACTATCCACGTTCATTTTCAGCCATCCTCCTGTAGGAGGGAAAGACCAACCAATTAGTTTGGGGGGTTAGGAGTCACCTGTGATTGGGATTCATTGAAAGCATTCCATGAGTTCCATGCCAATCTCCAAACCCATTACGATACCAGAAGCTTAACACTTTCGTTGACTTATTTACGCCATCAATACAGCTCTTCTTTGTCTAACAGTACCACTCGGTCCACTGCTACTAGATTAGTATTGTCAGCCTCAAAAATGGCTACTGGGTAAGTGCTTTTTGTTTTTTTTTCCTTAACTAACTTCGTTTTTTAAAAATTTAAATCGTATTTCTTCTGGGTATTTTGATTTGGCTCTGATTTTTTCTTCATTCCTGTATTAAACTCTCTCTCTCTCTCAGAAGGGTGCAAGAGACTCTTCCACCTGCCCTCGACTCGACTTCAGACCCACCTGCAATCTTCGATGGAACTACAAGGTTGGTTAAGAATTGGGTTTCTCTTTTGGGGCTATTTGATTTATAAATTTGTGGGTAATTGTTATTGATGTGTTTGTGTTTGTGTTTGTGGGAATGCCCATAAGAACTCCTTTTGTAAAACTTACATATGCCCTTGTGCATTTTAATGATTGCAGGCTGTATATATCTTACACATGCCCATAAGCACAACGCGTATGGATTATTCGGAATTATAAGGTTGTTTCAAGAATTCTTCTTCATCTTGCTTCTGCTTTATTTAATCTCTCTCCCTTTCTCTCCCCTTAATTGCAAAACACCCCGGGTTTGGCAGTCAACCTCCCTCAACTCTGTCTCCCTCAACCTTAAACCGTTGCATCAAACCTCCTTAAACTACAATTTTTTGTGCAAAACAAGATGGCCGTCGAAAGTTGAGCGGCAAGTTCAACACACGCGCCCAAGGCAGCGACTGAGTGGCCAAATTTAGCAAGATAATGCTAGAAAATGTAAAAAATATAAAATTTTAGATGTATTTTTTTAGCATGAAATAGAAAATGATAGAAAAATAATTTTTTTCCATACTTAGATTTTCTCACATTTAAGTAACATTTTTTTCTTGCAAAAAACATAAGAAAAAACAAGAAAATTGTGTTCAATGACCTAACTTTTCATTGTACCCTTATTTTTAAAAAAATATTCAATAAGTTATTAATTTTAAAAAACTTTGTAGAAATTAGACTAACCATATAATTTGGTCTAGAGATCAGGTTTTGAGTTGATTTTTTTCTCTGAATTAGATTAGGAGCCAATTTTTTAAAATTTTGAATAATAAAAAATATTTTTTCTTCTTTAGATCGAATTAAAATAATTAAGGATAATTTAGACAATTAAAAAAAAATTCTTATAACTTTCCTTTCTTTCAAATGACGGAATGAAATTATTTTAAAATTTTCTAAGAAATTTTTCATACTAACCAAATTCATGCATGAAAATATATTTTATTTCACTTTCTTTTCTTTTACTTCACTTTCTACCTCTTTCATTTTTTATCACCTTTTTCTTATTAATCAAACGGACCCTTGTGTTTCTCTCTTCTCCCCTTATCACCAGCGAACAGTCCACCACTATCAGTCATCTCTCTCTTCACATGCGAACACCCGCCAACACCCAGCACATCAAAACCTCCACTGCCCAACACCCCAATCAAAATCAACCAAATAAAATCCTACCTTGAACATGGATGACAACCCATCTCAAAACAACAATCCATGGTACTCCACAACATTTGCACCCACCACTCCCAAAATATAGAGAGAGAAGGGTTTGAGGTAGAAGAATGGTATTCAAATGAAAATTAAGTGGCTAAATGAGAGTATTTTAGTATTTTTATAAATTTTGTAGCACTTTATTTTTAAATTGAGGGGGTTTAAGTATTATACTTAAAACTAGGAGAAGGTCACGTGCAAATTTCCCTAAATACAAGGTTTTTTTTTTTTTGCATTTAACCTATTAAATTTTGCATAGTTCTTGCAGAGTTTACATTGTAAAATATATGTTCAATTTTCTTTGGAGAACAGGGACTACAGGAGAAGATAAAATTGGTTCCTATTGACCTACAAAACAGGGCAGCTAGGTACAAGGAGAAAGTTTACCCACCAAACAAGGTGAAATTATATGAATTATATGTTTTATGGTTATAAATAGTACCATTATAAGTTTACCCATATCAAAATTCTTACCTCTGAAAAACCTAGTACGCACAATGTGTCAGTTATGTTTGAACTTAATATGTGTGTTCAATGGCATCGAAAGTGAAACAAACAGGTTGCAAAGAATTGTAGAAAACTTTTAAGTACTCATTAGTTGTTTCCTACATCCATATTCTTTTGCCCTTTATTATATGTGACGCGGTCATGCAGGTGCCATCTTTGGAGCACAATAATGAAGTTAAGGGGGAGAGTCTTGATTTGATCAAATACATTGACAGTAACTTTGAAGGACCTTCTCTTTTCCCTGATGTAAGATCTGGAGACTCTTATTCTAACGTATTTTAAATTTTTCAAGACATGTGACTCTGCATTCTGAACGAATGTTAAAAATTTGGCAATGTAGGATCCATCCAAGAAAGAGTTTGCAGAGGAGTTGCTGTCATACACAGACTCGTTCTGTAAGGCCGTGATTGCTTCTTTCAAGGTGGACGGAAATGATGGAGCAGGTGAGCTGAACACTTAACTGATGTTGAAGTTGTGAATGTCAAAATAAACTGGTGTAATTGTTGTGATGAACTGCTTTAGGTGCTGCATTTGATTACATTGAGACGGCTCTTTCCAAATTCGACGATGGACCTTTTTTCCTGGGCCAGTTCAGTCTGGTGAGGGAAAACCTTTCTTATGTTATCTGCATGATGTATAGCATTATTCTTGAGTTAAGCTTTTAAAAGTGGCAGCTAATTATCATCCCATTTTGTTAAGAGAAATATTAGATGAGGTTAAAATTGTAAGATGAGGGAAAATTGTGCTTTGTGATTTGACAAGTTTTGATGTCTGTGGTCTCTAAGTTCATATCCGTGTCCTTCAGGTGGACATAGCTTATGTGCCATTCATTGAAAGGTTTCAGCCCTTTTTGCTGGATGTGAAGAACTATGACATCACTGTAGGCAGGCCAAAACTAGCGACACGGATTGAGGTATTGCAATTATATTTATTCTTTGTATGACCTTGCGTATATCTAGGTCTCCATGGAATCATCCGTTTCTCTTTGCTAAGACATGGCTAGGACTCTATGTCATTTCCTGAAGAGTGTTGGGCACGTAAAAGTTATGATAATTTGCCACAATTGTGAAATTAAAAACCTTTGAAACACTTTTATGCTCAAATAAACAGGCATGGTGTATGATGCCACAATTGAGATCTGAATTTTTAAGTCTAAAATGCAGAACCATTGAGACACTTCCATGCTCTGATAACTAGGTATTGTATATAATGGAATACGGATGCTGGGTATTTGGTGTTTAAGTGCCAGTTTGGGATCATGTGGAGTTTACAATTCTCATATGAGTGGAGAGGGATGGAGAAACTCTAGCCTGGTAATGCCCCACCCCAAGTTGAGTTCGATCTGCCTATAGATCTTGGTGTATTCCCTCAAAATCAATTTTTCTTTCCTGCAATATTTTATCGATGGAGGCAATGACATGTGAAGCTCTCCCAATTGCTTTGCATTTTCGTATTTATCTATGTTCACACACCCATATGTTCACACACCCATACACAAAAGATGGTTCCTGTTTCTGTGATGATTGAACAGCTAAAGAGCACATGCATCACTATGAACACTAAGAACAATTGTTTTTCTTGAGTTGCAATACAGTGGAATTATTTTTGGCAGGAGATGAATAAAAATGAAGCTTACAGTCAAACTCGATGCAATCCTAAGGTGGTTGTCGAAAGCTATAAAAAACGTTTCTAGGTATGCCTTAATAACTGAAGTTTGCCAAAAATATTGATGGCTCCTGAAATTGTCTTAGACCATCTACATTTCCATACAAACACAGCTAATTTCTTCACCCAATTCTTCTTCTGTGCATTCCTGAATCTGAACTAAGCCAATTCATTTGCAGACCATGGAAAATTAAAAGTTGGCTCCATACATTCCTGCTCATTATTTTCTATGTCTGCATGTTCGTACAACGGGGGCAGCCATTAGGCCAACTATTATCATTGACTTTTCCTGTATTTCAGGGTGCTGCTGTAATTGGTAAATTTCTGGTGATGTAATTCTAATTTGTCAGACAGCTTGGTGCTTCATATTTGAAACAGTTTGTGCAACTACGTGGGTTGCCTTATCTATTATTCATAGTGGTGTTTATGGGTCTGGTTGGCTCACGGATTCAGTTATTCGGCCCAAAAATAGGTCTAAAGCCCAAGTCTAATATCCTTCGAGGGTTAAGGTTTTCCTCAAACCTATTGCTAGGTCTTACCTATTGCTCGGCCCAAAACCTGATTAGTGAGCCCAACTTGTAAAAATCCGACCCAAGAGTTTGTCCATCTGTTTTTCCTCCCGATTGTTTAAAAAAAAATTGACCATGGAAACTTTGAAAGTTTGATAACAACATATGAACCTAGTTGGGATGTGTTTATTTTATTGTGATGTAATTCTTCTTCTATTCATAAATAAAATATTTATTATTTAATTTTTTTATTTTGATTCGATTTTTAATTTAAAAATATAATTTATAAAAATATTAGGTTAACAACTTTTTAAATAAAATTGCCAATATATAAAAAAAGCCCGCGCTCGTCCGGTGAGTGACAAGTTGGGTAGTGGATAGTCTATCCCTATTTTCAGTTTGACTTGATCATGTCGATAATTCGTCCGATAAGAATTTGGGCCTACTCTAACCAAGTCTAGCCTAAAAAATTTTTGCAAGCCTAATCTGGCTTGGCCCATGAACACCCTAAGTATTCAAGCGGATATTTTTTTTGGGTACTGAAACAATTTTTTGGTATCATCTCTAAAGTTACAATCTAATCAAATTAAGGTCCAAGGGACGATGTTGGATTGATTATCGCTGGTGTTTTATGATCAATCAAAAGGTTTTAAATGTCGACAAATCATAATTTAATATATAAATGTAAATTTATTTCAAGTTTTCAACATGATGTTGAATTGAAAACGTAGAATTTCTATTCGACCGGTGCTTTCCTGTTATTGACTATGACTTAAAATTGTTATAGTTAGCATGTTTTGGTTAAACTTTAGTGGATTTTGATGGGTTAAGCCCAAATAGTCCAATTTACGTGTTAAAGTCCAACCTCAGTTGAGGAGCCCAACCTTATTTTGATTTCACCAAGCCCAAGACAGTCCAAGACCGGTTAGACTTTTTGTTTAGCACGTCACCAAGAGGAGAGTATGGGAAGCTTATCTGCACCACCAAAGGAAACGGTCCAAATCCACCAAGTCCAAGACAGTCCAAGACCGGTTAGACTTTTTGCTTAGCACGTCATCAAGAGGAGAGCATGGGAAGCTTATCTGCACCACCGAAGGAAACGGTCCAAATCTTTGACCACGTTTCATGAAGAGCTCCCCAACCTCCTCCTTCCGTTGAGGATAAGTCGTGATCTCCACCAAGAATAATCTCTTAGATGCGATAAAGAAGCCTTGAGGATAAGTCGTGATCTCCACCAAGAATAATCTTTTAGCTGCGATAAAGAAGCCTTGAGGATATGTCATGATCTCCACAAGAATGATCTCTTAGCTGCTATAAAATAGCTCCAATCTGGTAGAAAGAGAAGATGAATGTCACGTCCCACCAGAGACTTACAGAGGACGAACCGACTACCGGAGATCACTATTTCTTTGATTCTCCATTCTCTCTCTCAAAGCTTGTATCTCTATTCTCCATACCTTTGAATCAATAAAATACCCGGCAACTGAAGCCATTGAAGAGTGGACGTAGGTTGAATTGACCGAACTACTATAAATTGTGTCTTCTTTATTTTTTTCATTGATTTTATTGCATTTATTACCTATACTTGACAGGTGGTGTGCAAAACCATTTTTGTGCATCATCAGTTTGGCGCCGTCTGTGGGAATCGACAAAATTCTCACTCCTGAACATTACATCCATTAACTAATGGCGATCACTACTCGATCCATGAACCAACACGAAGGCAATCCTCCACGAGAGGAGGAGGTTGCTCCCCCGCCTATCAACCCTGTTCCGGATACTCTAGCCCCGAATCCCCAACAAATATTGGAGACCATGCAGCAACTGGTTGCTCAAAACCAACAGTTACTGCAACTCATACTTGCTGGACAAGGAGGAGCACCACACGGAGGTGCACAACATGGAGGACCCCCAAGGTGGAGCACCACACAGAGGTGCACAACATGGAGGGCCCCACGGAGGTGCACAACATAGAGCACCCCAAGGAGCTCCACATCCTGGACATCAAGGAGCACCACGCCCTGTTGCTCCATGCCCGGGTGCCCCATTGGGCACCCCACTTCGGGAAGCCCACATGAGGGAGCTGCACCTCCCCCTCCCTTGCTTTCCAGGGAGAGGACCCTTATCTCCAGGAGGATGAGGGTGAAAACCAAAGCATGGGGCATGAAAGTCACTTCCATGATCATTCCATAGGAGCCCCCAATCATTGGGACGAGAAGATAAAGGAGGTACAGAATCAACTCGGTGATGTCTTCAACGCCATGAAGGCACAGGGACCCGAAACTGTTGACCACCTGGTATGGCGTACTGATACCCCTTTCAAACTTGATGTAGCAAACTACCCCCTCCCTCAGAAGTTCAAAATGCCATATGTGGAGACCTTTGATGGAACAAAGGATCCACTGGACCACCTTGACACTTACAAGACCTTGATGCAATTGCACAACGTACCAGACGAAATCATGTGCAGGGCATTCCCAACCACATTAAAGGGGTCTGCCCGACAGTGGTTTGCTAAGCTCTCCCCCGCCTCTATTACCTCTTTTGCCGAGCTTAGCAGATCATTCGTCTCACACTTCATAGGAGGGCGTCGCCACCAGAAGTCAGTTACGCACCTGCTTAGTATAAAGCAGGACCGCGAGGAGAGCCTGAGGAGTTACCTCACTCGTTTTAACGAGGAAGTACTCCAAGTTGATGAACCTAACGACAAGGTGACGATGACCGCCTTCTTGGGTGGCCTCCGTTCATCAAGTTTCCTTTTCTCAGTTCTGAAGCGCCCACCGAAGAGCATGCCAGAGCTGCTAGCCAAGGCCCAAAAATACATAAACGCAGAAGACATCACAAGGGCCAGGCGGGGTGAGTCTTCCAGAGCGGGTGAGAAAAGGAAGGAAAGAGAGAAGGACGATAAGAAGGAAACCAGCAACAAATATGGCAGGACAGAGAAAGTCCCTGTCAAGGACCGGCTAGGTCTTGCTCCTCAGAGGAACCGTCAACCCTTCACTCCCCTCAATGCTTCCGTGGAACACATCCTATTCCAGATCCAGGATGACCCCGCGATAAAGTGGCCTGGAAAAATAAAGTCTCCTCCAAATCGCAGAAATCCTAACAAGTATTGTCGCTTCCATCGTGACCACGGGCATGACACCGACGATTGCTACGACCTCAAGAGGCAAATTGAGGAGCTCATCCAGCGTGGTCACTTACGTCAGTACGTTGCTGGAAGGGAACGAGTACCACAACCTCACAACCAGGAAGATCAGCAGCCTGTGGGGGAAATCCACACTATCTCAGGGGGACTAGCAGGTGGGGGAGAATCACTTTCCGCGATGAAGGCCCATGCCAGGAAGAAAGCAAGACATGTCTACGAGATGCGCCCATCTAAGGTGCCGAAGCAGGAAAACGACGAGGTCATATCTTTTTCAAACAAGGACCTGGAGGAAATCCAACACCCCCATGACGACCCCTTGGTGCTCACCATGACGGTGGCCAACTTTCATGTGCACAGGATCCTGGTAGATAGTGGCAGCTCTGCAGATATCCTGTTTGCAGAGGCCTATGACAAGCTCAACCTGGGCAGGGAGAGGCTACAGCCAATCAGGTCACCCCTCATTGGATTCTCAGGGGAAAAAGTGTATCCCCTTGGATCCATCACACTTCCCGTCACCGCCGGAGTAACACCCCGAAGCTCCACAGTCATGGTCAATTTCCTGGTAATAGAATGCCCGTCAGCCTACAACATCATATTAGGGCGGCCAGCTCTTAACACATTAAGAGCTGTGCCCTCTACCTACCATCTCGTTCTCCGCTTTCCAACCTTAAATGGAGTCGGAGAGGTCAAAGGGGACCAAATAACAGCCAGAGAGTGCTATGTATCCTCTATGAAGGCTAGGAAGCCCCAAGAAGCATTGCAGGTTGAGGTCCTTGACCCAAGGGATGACTCCGCAACAGAAAGAGGAGAACCAGTCGAGGAACTCATCCCTGTGGTCTTAGAAAAGGAGCACCCAGACAGAAGAATTTACATTGGCTCTTCCCTTTCTGAAGAGCTGGCTCCCCTGTTGATTGAATTTTTGAAGCGTAATATGGACATCTTTGCTTGGTCGCATGAGGACCTTGAGGGCATCGACCCGGAAGTAGCTACCCATCACCTCAATGTCGATCCACTGTACAAGCCTGTTCGCCAAAAGTTAAGGGGAGCCTCCACTGAAAGGGCCCAAGCCATGGACAAGGAGATTAGAAAGCTGGTTGATAACGGAGCAGTCAGGGAAGTGGCGTATCCAGAGTGGCTCTCCAACGTAGTAATGGTTACTAAGGCTAATGGGAAGTGGCGTCTCTGTGTCGACTTCACAGAACTGAACAAGGCATGCCCAAAAGATAGTTATCCACTGCCGCGGATTGACCTCCTCATCGACGCCACCGCTGGGCATGAGTTGCTCACTTTCCTGGATGCATACTCGGGGTACAACCAGATTAGCATGCATCCCCCAGACCAAGAGAAGACATCATTCATCACGCCAAAGGGGACATACTGCTACAGGGTCATGCCCTTTGGGCTAAAGAACGCTGGAGCAACCTACCAACGGCTGGTGAACAAGATGTTCCAGTCTCAGATCGGGCAAACAATGGAGGTGTACGTGGATGACATGCTGGTAAAGAGCCTTGCAGCAGTAGACCACATTGATCACCTCCAAAAAACTTTCAACGTCCTGAGGTCCTATCACATGAAGCTCAACCCTGAGAAGTGCGCCTTTGGTGTGGGGTCTGGTAAATTCCTGGGCTTTATGGTCAATCAGAGGGGAATTGAGGTGAACCCTGACAAGATCAAGGCCA